GGTGTTGGAATGATTGTAAGTTTCGCAGATTCTGTTTTCCGAAGTCACCTAGCTCGGTGTCCAACTTAAATGTCCTCACAGTGGGATTTGGCTTGGCACGAATCAGTCTGCTTCACGCAGACCAATGGAATGCATATCCGAAGATATGTTTCGCCCCCTACCATGAAAAAGCCAAAGCCCAACACCCTGTGTGTCCTTCATAGAAACGGTCTATATGTGATGTCATCTTCTGCGAAGGGGGTGACATTGGACACACTCACCAATATACCATTCGGAAATGGAGGTTCACCGAATTCCCAGGTCAGTCGCGGACATGAATATTGCCCATGGCTCATATACAAAAAAGAAGGGCCCCCGGGCTGGTACCCATCTGCTCACTGTATGGCGACTGGGGGCAACATGAGCGAGTAGCCATGATGTAGCTCCTCCAATTGGGGTTCCAACTCGTATGTACAGGTTTTGGAAGTATTAAAGAGATTGCGGATCCATGGAGGGTTTTTGGTTGCCACGTTCCAAAAAGACTCCGGAAAGGTTGTGTAGTCGCCCTTTTTGGGCGACTCCTAGCCTTGGTTTGTCCAGGTTTCACCACAGAATGACTGATTCTCTTCCGATGTTGCCCCCAATAATGAGCGGAGCTTTTTTGGTTCCAGTTGCTCCAGGCAAGCCACGTTGAATTACCCAAAGGGAAACCAGAAGGGGACGGGTATTTGTTTTCGTGTTTTTCCAGACCCGGTATTTAGGTCCCAGAACAGCCAACCAAGGAAATCACCATTTAAGATTCAATCGAAAGGGAACCAAAGGGAACCCATGGGAGGGAGTGAAATTCCAAGTGGTTACTGGGGTGAAGCGACTGTGATCTTTTGGGGGGCAGAACAACTTAGCATTGGGTTGCGGGGTGTTGTAGAACCAAATGTCATGATCCTCAGAGATTACTGCGTGCCAGTTGGCCCCTTATGTTATCTTTAGAAGCTCGCTCCCTCAGTTCCTTGACTTTGCGTTCTTTGGCAAGACCATTTTGGTGGCATCCAAGCAGTTCAAGCTTTCTGGGCAGATCCATTCAAGAAGTGAGATTAGGTGAGTCACCATCCAAACCCGGGTAGATGAAGGATAGTAAGGGACAATAGTTGCGGATCTCCGCGCTTTTGGTTCTATGCTTTGTTGTGACAGATCGTTTTTTCAACCCTGGAAGCAAATAATTGGCTGTGGGTCAAAACCAATGGGATCCTATTTGGGGTAGGTGAATCCACCACCCATTTTAGAACCTATTTTAGTGGTTGGATTGAATCGGATGTTCACGGGGGACGATTTGGCTTTTGACCCATGATCAAATCACATGGAAGCGGCCTAAAGGAGCTTCCTCTAAAAAAATCCCCCCCCCCGAGCCCCAGACCTGCCCCCCCACCTTAGTGGGTCGAAGGAGGTGTACCGCCGCTTCAGCGGCCGCGTGGCCCACCCTGGCGCCGCCCGGGACTCACTCGGCGCGAGAAGGGGACGTGTCTTCCCCGGAGTGGCCGTGTCTTTTTTTTTGGGGGGACGTTTGGAACCTCCCGAATAAACCGCCCCAAACACACCAAGCGCCAAACCCTTTTTGGTTTGTTCTTTTGGACTCAAGAGTTTTGTTCTGGGGTGTGTGTTTGGTTTGCCAGTCTAGTTTACCCTCCCACCAACTAACCAACTAATTGGCAGTGCACAAGAACTGTACCAAAGGAGAGTGTTCCATAAGTGGTCTATGCACTTCTTCGTTTGTTGGTGGAAGGTAGTCTTTCCAAGGGATTGTGTTTGGGGAGGTTCAGCGGGTCGAAAGAACGGGTTCCCTTCGGAGATGGTTCTCAATATGGCTCGTCAAAATAGGGAGACCTCCAAGATGGTGATTGTCCTGTTGGTGTCCATTGTTTTTTTCCCCCGAAAAAAAGAAACACCAAAGTGCAATCAGGGTTTACATGAACATACGTGCAGTACTTTCCAACTTTGGGAGATACCAACCCAGAAGGCCAAGTAGAAGTTAAGGTTGAACCTGATATATGTTCATGGGTCTGGGCTCAGTCACGTAACAGCTGTTTGGCATCTAATAATTTGGAGGAACTTGTTTGCTGTTTTTTTTGAACTCTGAGGGTCTGGAAAGTGTTTTGGATGAACGAGCAAAGTATCTTCTGGTCAACCGGAAGCCCGCCATCCTGCGAAGCACGTGCCAAGGAGAGGTTCATGTCCCTGGCCGAGTTTCAGGACGCTCGTTCATACTCCCCTGGAAAATCGCCATGGAAGGGGCCTCAAAAGGACCCCTTTTTTACCGGCTCCAGGTTAAGCATCGGGAAACGGTTGCAGTCTACCAGGGGCATCTTCTTCCGCTTTCTCACTGCTGAATGGTTTTGTTCGACAGTTGAGTGAGGGGCACTCTTGTTCTTGTTTGGTTTGGTGGGTTTTCCACCAAAAAGGTGTGTCATTGCACAACAAAGAAAGAGTTGCGTGAACCAGCTACCAAGTGATGTTATATCGGCGCAAAATTTGAATGCAAGTTTGTCTCAAGCCATGCAGGTAACGTTTATGTCTGTTCAATTGAAGGGATAAGATACCTTGCGTGTGTCGAGTCTCAAACGCAGGCCATACGCTCAAAACAGCCCCGAGGCTTGAGCAAGCTCCGATGAGCCTTTGGGTGTATTCCCCAATACTGGATGGACGAAATCCTGCACCACCTAAGAAACCCTGGAATGATGATACCCCCTGTAAATACCAACAAACAATGGTTTCCCATGGCGTTTCTTCAGTTGCCCTGCGACATCCGTCCAAGCCAACAAACACGGCCAGACGCTGCCTTGCACCCTTTTTGCTCCACTGCTCCCCGTGCAAGATGTCTGCCGGCCGAACCTGAGCCTACCTGACACAGTTGATTCTCACTTGTTCATTGGCACCCCGGTTTAATTTGTTTGCGCCACCAGGATCCATTTATAATAGCCGGACTTGTTGTGGTCTACACGGCACGGCGTGAACCGCCCCAACTCCATTTATGTTAGAAGGGGTCATTCCAAAAGTTACTCAGAAAACAAGAAGCTTTTAGGTGGGTCTCCATGGTTTTTCTCCAAAGCCCAAATTCTCGTGATTCGCGCTGTTGCGGGGAGGACTTGCTTGACACCATCAAGCCCTACAACTCGGAGTTCTCTCAGAGGATGCAACTGAAGCTCAGGGGCGCAATGAACTTCCACTTCTTGATTCCTGGAGTCGATCAAGCAAACCATGAGGTCGGTTGGACCCCTTCCGCAAATGATGGTCCCGACTCAAGCCTGATGAGGAAACAGGTCTGTGACTGCGACCAATCGCCACGGCTTCGTGGCATTCTCTCTTTCAAGGCACCAAGTTTTTCCAATGTGGCCCCTGTTTGCGCGCCCTTATCTTTGGATTTCTGGGTCGAGCAAAGTCAGGGTAGGCGTTGAGAGAAAAAAGGGAGGGTCCCGAGGTCTGGTCCATGAGACTGCCTGCTGAAAGTTGTGCAACCACCAATCTGTTGTTGTCAATGTGTGCTTCTCATTCGGAAGTTACGGGTGTTTGCGTGCAGCAGAGTCCGATTTCATGTGATTCGTTGCGATTGCTCAATGGTTCTTTCCTGCAGCGCATCTTGGCATAGTTGGGCAGTTTGCCAGAGCAAAGTGTCGCCACTCTGTCCGCTTCTGCATTCTCCCCCTTCTCACAGGGTCATTACATGGGAGGTGGGGGGCTACCGAACCAGAGACCGGAAACATATGATATCAGATGTATGTATTTTTGTTATGCATAGATATGTGCATCCATACCTACATGCATGTCTGCAACCTTTGCGCCGTTCATCTCGGGGCTGTACCTCCATACGACCTGTCAGGCTCCAGGTGCAAATATGTCTGATATATACCTGCAGTCCAATGGGAGGCCGCTATATATGGAATCAGCGCATCATGGCGATCTCACCGATCGACTCGTGGGGGTTGAAACCATCGAAGAGCCGTGCCCGTGACTCGAGGATCCTGATCTCTCAGGTTTTGGAGTAACTTTCTGGTGCTCAGCAGGGAATGAGTTGGAATGACCCTTATACACCGTCCCTGGTGATTTCCTTTCAGGGCATCCATGGGTCCATTCCAAGATTCCCTACTGAGCACCAGCCAGTTTTGGTTGATAAGGGAAACCCATGGTTTCCTTTAAGGGGACCAAAGCCTGGGTTCATTCCCTACTTTCCCCACCTATTGCGCCAGCAGGATAACAAGGTTTCCAGCTGGCCAGGAGATGTGGCTGGGCCTTCCGCCTCGCCATGATGACGCAGCCCGAAGAGCTCTTTGAGACTCGCTTTCAGGAGCGGCGATGTGAGGTTGGGGGGTCCTCCAAAACGAAATTTGCATGGGGTGGGCAGAAAACATGTTGTTCGGAGCACCCCAGATGTGGGCCAAGGTTATGACGGGGAGCCTTGTCTAAAAGTTCTGATGGATCCAGTTCGCGGGCAGAAAGGAGCATGTGAGCTTTGGTCGGAATTCCCGATTTGCCTGTTGTCCATTTGGGAAAATGGAACATGGGGGCAACTCACCTCATTTGGCACCAAGGCCACGGAGCTCACTAAGTGTTTGCATGCCCTTTGCTCTAACTTTGCATTTTCCCCAAATGGCTGTGGCTCAAAAAACCGGTAGAATGGAACCCTGGCAAGTGGAAACATGGACCAAAACCTGCGGTTTGCCCCTCCGATCGTTTAATTTTGAGCCACCCCCAAATGTGTGTGTGTGGGTGTGTGTGTGTGTGTCGAGGTTGAAGGTTCCCCCTCCCAGCTCCAAAGCACTCGCGCTACAGCGCAGTTTTTTGTTTGTTTTTCGCCTTTAGGAAGAGGGGGTTTCAGGGGCAGGAGCCACACCCTCTTTTCACTGGGCCTTTGGTGTGACTTGAAGCCCTTAGACGTTTTGGAACAAATGTTATTTTCCATTCAAACCTCAAAAAAGCTTAGCTAGGTCCCCCAGTAGTGCCCTTTTACCCTTTTTTTGGGGAGGGTTCCCCTACTAAAATAGACTACAGAGAAAAAGGGTACCCTTGTTCTAACCTCTCTACTGGAGGACCTAGTTAGAACAGTGAGCCAGTTTTGCTCAAGCACTTTTGAGGATGTCTGTCCCTGACCGGATCCCACGCTGCTCGCTCGCGCTTTGGGAAGGAAGGTTCCTTTGGGGGGATGACTGGAGGTTTCTTGGAGGGAGCGGCCTTTTGAACTACGGGTGGGGATTATGAGATGTGATGTGTGCCTTGGATAGCGATCTGTTTGCTTTGACCACACTGGAAAAGGCGAGCGTGGCCTCAGGATGGGGTTGCGATTTTGCAGGTGGGGAGAGAGCCCAGCGATCGATTCGAGAGAGGCCTCCGGACAGGATCCCGTGGACATCAGGGCTCCTTTGTGCTCTGAAAAGCCAGCGATTTCCCTCGTCAGAGTAAACATCAACATTTGGACCACTTTTGGAGTTTCCTTGTGCGTTCATGTTCACGGAATAGAGGGAACCTGTTTGAAAGTTGCCTGGTAGTCACGTAGCTGCTTGATTGTTGCCGGGGAACCATAGGCGGGCTACTTTTGAGTCTTAAAATTGAGTGACCCGCAGGAGATGAGCTTCTTGGAGTTTCAGCATGCAGTGGGCTCCTGAGAGTGTGGGTTGAGTGACAGGAACTATCTTGGCAATCGACGTCATTAGGAAGGATTGCGATGCCACCCACGAAGCTTTCTTTCATAGGGATCCTTTAACTTGGTTGATGAGTTGTAATCATGTACCCAGAACTCTGGAACTGCCGCGACCCCTTGTGTTTGTCTCATGAGCATGGACCCGTGGTATTTGGGATTCGGAATCCCACAAAAGAAGACCTTCCAAATGGATTTCCTTGAGTCCCCAAAGGTGCGAGTTGGCCGGTTGTGCGGACTTGCTGCGATCTCGAAGATGAGTTCTCATTTTATACCTTTCGGTTCGAGAAACAAGGTTGCCAGAATCAATCATATACTTGAGCTTCAGAACATGCTCCATGTATGCAAATGGGAGGTCTCTAGTGTGAGGACATCTCAGGAGTGTACTTGTGGTGGTTGTCAAAGGGACCCATTGCATGGCATCCATTTGCTTAGAGCAGTTGTTTGTTTCAGCAGTTAGTGTTAGAAGGTTTTTGTCATGATTGCCAAATACATTATTTTGTCAGCAGCGGCAGGCAGCCATCGGACGCCAGGTGCCAGATGGTTTATGTGTTGCTTTCCCGTTCAACACCAACCCAAAGAGGTCCACATTGTTGAAGCCCCAGATTAAATCGGTGGACAGGAAGCCACAAGAAAGAGCCTGTTGGCGTGCGCACATACGTCAGATTGCTGAACACAGGTTTTCTTTTGGGGTGCGATGAAATTTGGTGCCGCCTGTGCATTCGGTCCAGAAAAGGGCAAGCATCCCATGACGACCTGCTACATGTTTGCGATGGGGCACCTCGCCTTTAGGTACTAGTGGTCTCAATGTGGAAGAATGGTCAAAAAGAAGACCAATCATCCGCTATTTGAGCAGCGCCCCAAACACGTCATTAGCAGATCTAGCAGGTAGTTCTACTGCCTGGTTCAACAGGGATTACAGTAAGGCACCTAGAAACCAGTCGTGTTGGTGTTTTCCCTCTAATGCCCGAAAGGAGGTCCTTCGCCAACTTTAGTCAGGGTATCTGGAATCATCAGGATTGGGAACAAGTGGTTCAAACATCCAGACCAGAGCCACATTTCAAGGGAAAGCAACATGATGTGGTTTGAACAATAAGTGTTTAAAGTTGCTGAAACGAGAAGGTAATCTTACTCGCTCTTACTTGCCAGTTAGGGTTGGCCCAAGCGGCCAAGCGGCTTTTGAGGGAAACAAGGTTCACCTGTGTGTTTGACTTTAGGGCGAACATCCCATTGTGAGGGGAAATTTAAGGGTCCAAAGCCATGGCTTCAACCCGGGGTTGAATCCTCTCATAGTGTTCGACAAAATCAAACAGCGTCACCCTGAGGGGCAACTCAGACCTGTGGGTTGCTTCCACTCGCCTTTTTGTAGGGCTATCTGTTAAAGTTAACCCGAACGCATCGGTGCCAATCTCTTGTTTTCAACCCAGGGCCAATCAACCCTTTTAACTTCCCCAGCATGGTTCCCCTTTCTTATTTGTTTGCTTTTTTGGGGTTCCCTTCGTTTTCCACTACCAGGCAAAACATATCATTTTTTTTTGCTGGGGTCCTAATTCAATTAATTCCAGCCAAGTTAAAGTCAACCCCCTTAAAGTCAACCCAGGGCCAATCAACCCTTTCAAAGTCAACCCCTTTAAAGTCACTAAGTCAACCCAGGGCCAAGCTTATTTTCCCCCGGGAAATCCACGGACTGCGGATTCGGTCGACGTTTGACCCGGGAACCGAGGTGGGCGTCGTCACCTTCCTGCGGCAAAGGCCCACGGACATGGCCGACGCCCGGCTTTCAGTGGGTAGCTTAAGACAAGTCTATCACTCCCTGAGTTCCTGGAAATGTGTGTGTGGGT